CACATTCAAATACGTTTTATAATTACTGTACGTGGTTTTGCAATCAGATGACCAATAAGAAAGCTACATGTATTGTATTAGTTTGTAAATATGTGATATGTATGTGAATTGTCCTCAGTGCATACAAGTAGCTTCCTACTCCCTGACATAACCTTTTCACTCTGTTAGGTGATGTGTGCTAAGTTATGACTCTAGCTACCTATGTGATGATATGGTTTGCGTAAGCAAATTTTACATATTTCAAGATTTTCATTTTTTTTGCTATGTGCATTTTTTTTTTCAACTTAACATTGGCATCCCCTACTAAACATTGGCATCCCCCTACTTAACATTGGCATCCCCCTACTAAACATTGGCATCCCCTACTAAACAATGGCATCCCCTACTAAACATTGGCATCCCCCTACTAAACATTGGCATCCCCTACTAAACATTGGCATCCCCCTACTTAACATTGGCATCCTCCTACTAAACATTGGCATCCCCCTACTAAACATTGGCATCCCCTACTAAACATTGGCTTCCTCCTACTAAACATTGGCATCCACCTACTTAACATTGGCATCCTCCTACTAAACATTGGCATCCCCCTACTAAACATTGGCATCCACCTACTTAACATTGGCATCCCCCTACTCAACAATGGCATCCTCCTACTAAACATTGGCATTCCCCTACTGAACATTGACATCCCCTTACTAAACATTGGCATCCTCCTACTAAACATTGGCATTCCCTACTAAACATTGGCATCCTCCTACTAAACATTGGCATCCCCTACTTAACATTGGCATCCCCCTACTTAACATTGGCATCCTCCTACTAAACATTGGCATCCCCCTACTAAACATTGGTATCCCCCTACTAAACATTGGCATCCCCTACTAAACATTGGCATCCCCTACTAAACATTGGCATCTCCCCTACTGAACATTGACATCCCCCTACTAAACATTGGCATCCCCTACTAAACATTGGCATCCCCCTACTTAACATTGGCATCCCCTACTAAACATTGGCATCCCCCCTACTGAACATTGACACCCCCCTACTAAACATTGGCATCCCCCTACTAAACACAGGCATTCCCCTACTAAACATTGGCATCCCCCTACTAAACATTGGCATCCCCCTACTAAACATTGGCATCCTCCTACTAAACATTGGCATCCCCCTACTAAACATTGGCATCCCCTACTTAACATTGGCATCCCCTACTAAACATTGGCATCCCCCTACTAAACAATGGCATCCCCTACTAAACATTGGCATCCCCTACTTAACATTGGCATCCCCTACTTAACATTGGCATCCCCTACTAAACATTGGCACCCCCCTACTAAACATTGGCATCCCCTACTAAACATTGGCATCTCCTACTAAACATTGGCATCCCCCTACTAAACATTGGCATCCTCCTACTAAACATTGGCATCCCCCTACTGAACATTGACATCCCCCTACTAAACATTGGCATCCTCCTACTAAACATTGGCATTCCCTACTAAACATTGGCATCCTCCTACTAAACATTGGCATCCCCTACTTAACATTGGCATCCCCCTACTTAACATTGGCATCCTCCTACTAAACATTGGCATCCCCCTACTCAACATTGGCATCCCCCTACTAAACATTGGCATCCCCTACTAAACATTGGCATCCCCTCCTAAACATTGGCAACCCCCCTACTGAACATTGACATCCTCCTACTAAACATTGGCATCCCCTACTAAACATTGGCATCCCCTACTAAACATTGGCATCCCCCTACTAAACATTGGCATCCCCTACTAAACATTGGCATCCCCTACTAAACATTGGCATCCCCCTACTAAACAATGGCATCCCCTACTAAACATTGGCATCCCCTACTTAACATTGGCATCCCCTACTTAACATTGGCATCCCCTACTAAACATTGGCACCCCCCTACTAAACATTGGCATCCCCTACTAAACATTGGCATCTCCTACTAAACATTGGCATCCCCCTACTAAACATTGGCATCCTCCTACTAAACATTGGCATCCCCCTACTGAACATTGACATCCCCCTACTAAACATTGGCATCCTCCTACTAAACATTGGCATTCCCTACTAAACATTGGCATCCTCCTACTAAACATTGGCATCCCCTACTTAACATTGGCATCCCCCTACTTAACATTGGCATCCTCCTACTAAACATTGGCATCCCCCTACTAAACATTGGCATCCCCCTACTAAACATTGGCATCCCCTACTAAACATTGGCATCCCCTCCTAAACATTGGCAACCCCCCTACTGAACATTGACATCCTCCTACTAAACATTGGCATCCCCTACTAAACATTGGCATCCCCTACTTAACATTGGCATCCCCTACTAAACATTGGCATCCCCCCTACTGAACATTGACATCCCCCTACTAAACACTGGATTTCCGTCCATGTTTTATTGTGTTGGAGCACCGTATGTTGCCGAGTGGAAGTAATCAGTGTCACAGACACAGGCGATAACAAACTACACTTGCGTTTTGAGGAGTGTTCTTACATTGAAGATATTATATTTATTTTAACAAGGCAGACAGTTGGATTAGACATTATCAAACGGACTAGTGAGAATATGGGAATTATTAAAAACCTCATGAGAAACTGTTCCCGATTTCAAGGAAAATGATCATAATATTGCATTCGTATCTTAATATTCTCTCAACTTTTACTTTACAGGATTGATTATCATATCACCTATTTTCGTTGGAGCATCATCCCAGATAGTTGTTTTTTCATGCATTTTGTCAACAAACTTCAATTTTTTCATGTATACACATGGACGATGCAAGTTATCGTAATTTGTAGTTAGTATATATCATTATATATGGAGTATAATCCCCCCTACTTGGTCAATTTACACTTGTCTACACACTGTCACTCGTGTAAGAGCAAGTTGTGTCTAATTGTAGAGTCAGACTAAGTTACAACGGGGTCTACAATCCCTGATATCGCTATCGTAGTGTTCAATTAAATCTGCCACACCATGTGTGAATATAGTTACCTAGGTGGCGATAAACTGGACGGACGTAATTAAGTGGACAAATGCCTAGCTTGAATGTATATAGTTGACAATAGTTGACATAGTTGAACAACTATCTGTAGGCAATTGCCATTATTAGGAACGCCTCCATGGTTTAGTGGTAGAGCGTCCACCCGGAGAGCGGAAGGTCCGGGTTCGATCCCCGGCTGCGTCATACCAAAATACCTTAAAAGATGGAACTTGTTGTTACCCTGTCTGGTGTTCGGCATTACGGTGCTAAAACAAGGACTGGTCGGTTCGGAGTGAGTATACTAGTATACTGTGTCTGAGTGGGGTATACATGTTAAACTGCGGCATGGTGTCTCAGTGAGCTATAGCACTATAAATCGGCATCAGTCCGGACTAGCACAAGCAGCCACACACAGACACGTGCATGCACGTTGCTATATAAGTGCAAAAATCTTGGACGCGACGTTAAACCAAATTTCACCACACCTCACCAATTGCCTTTTTGCCTATCTGGTAGTTTACTAAAATAAAAGTCAAGTTTCAGTCGGAACTGTACTGACTGTTGCCACAGTCCGACTGATTAATCACTGACATTTTGACGTGATGAACTGACGGGCAAAATAAACTATACAGTAATATAAAATGTCCAAACTTTTAATAACACGCTGCATAATATGACATTATAGTTTGAAATATTTCCACAAAACGCAGCTAAAATGGCCATTTATGAAAAAGTTAATGTGACTGCTCAAATACGAAAGAAATGCCTTTAAACGATAAATAAAAGTAATTCCCTTGCAGAATCTCCAATTGGTGTGAAGGTATCATACCACTGTAACATTGACAACTAGCATCGGAATTTACTAAAACCAAGAACAATCATGCTAACATTATCACCTTCGCAGATGGAAATGGCCATCAGTATGATACAGACGGGGGCTACCATAGCCACGGAGCAACAACCTTAGGCTGCGCGCGCATTACAATTACTGAGTGAAGACTCGTTTCTGCCAAACTGGCAGTACCAGGCCCGTTACCTTCGGGTTTTGCACATCAGGAACATATTCTTGATGGTGACCAACCAACCTTGATTGTCCAGTCAGCAGAAGGACAGCGTGGAGGAGATTGAGGCGCATAGTAGTCCTAAGACGCCAACGTCGATGCCATAGATTGAGATGTGCATGCACTCTACGTCAGTGGCAGAACAGGAACTGGCAAAGAGGTGTTTTTTCTTCAGATCTTACTGAACCATTAGAGTGCACCGCCGACGAGGGGAACCGGACACACGGTGACGTCAAAACACATCTGGTTATTTTTCGGTGCCAATCTGACTGCACAACCCGATGTCGACCAGGTACTTCTTCCCGTTGCCCTGCCTTTTCTGCAGTGAACCCAACACCCTGTTCCAAATGACAACGCCAGACAGCACATGACAAGGATTACGACCAACTTTCTGCACGCCAAAGACGTCAATGTCTTGCAGTTGCCACCAAGATCTCCGGATGTGTGCCCTCACAAGCATCTCTGGATCTCCATATCAGAGAACGACCCGTTCCTCCACTCGCAAGACAAGGCTTGTCAGGCACTGGTTGAGGAATAGCGCCTGATTCCAGCGGCCCTCATCAGAGGTCCGACGTTCTGACGTCATTATCTGTAACAATATCTGCTAAATATCTGTGCACATAACATATGATAATTTGCCTTCAACTTGAAATTATTTTATTTTGAATCACTTTGTTGTCTTAGAAGAAAATGCGATATTGTGTTTGGTATAGTTTCATTTGTCCGTCAGCTAAAATTAATGTGCACATTGAAGGAAAACTTTGAATGTTTAGGTACCGTTTGTAAGAGATGAAAATTCGGTGAGAGATTTCAAGAGTGGCATTACATGATAGAGAGATTATGACACATTACGTATCGCCGAGGCTTTCTACATGCAATGTTTGTTCCTAATACAGAACATTTACCACACCAATGCTTTCTAAATACGTTTATTCCACAATACAGAGAAAATGTACCATCCAAAGATAAACTCGCGTGATACACTCTACGTCGGTTCAACCGCGAGGTTATATGCGGTGTCAGTGTCGAAGTGTCGAAGGATTTTTAATTATGTTCGTCACTGACCACGTAAATCCTCAAAGTATAGTGACATTCTACATGGCTAGTTCCTTTCAAATAACCTAAAGATGCATGACAACGGTCTTCGATCTGCCTGCAACAACTATCGCCCAAGCCTCTGTGTCAGCAGTCTAACCTTGTCTTGTGCGAAACATCAATTGTAAGAATTCCAATATTGTATTATTTTTGTTATTAACATTCTTCTTATTCATAAATCACACCTGGATATTACAAGCAATACGTAACTTAAACTGAACCAATATTTAACTGCACACTCGGCCTCTTGGGTATCATATATTCCATTATGTCTGTTGGCCTGAAACCAATGTCTTTGGTATGACCTCACATCGGTGTATAGGTAAACTTGAACCCAGAATCCTTCATCTTCTCGTTCCATATTTGATCAAATTTCTCGTTTTCAGCAACAGTGAACCAATTCTTCCAGTCCCCGATTTCACCTGAAACAGAGAAACAAATGTACACAAGAGAGCCTACTTTAAACAGGCATACGTTTGTCAACAAGCCATGTAATGGAAATATATCAATGGACTTCAAATACAGAGCACGCTGGTTACACTTCTAACACAAACATATACTCAACAACAAATGTTCCTGTGACACCAATATTTTAGTGTATTTTTCAAACAAGTAAAGTTTGGTTTTCAATATTTTGCCGATATGTGTGGAATCAAGTCACAAAAACGCAACTGCTACAGAAAAGCATGCATTCCATGCAAAAGTTGACTTTTATGCAAGCCCCATGCATTTCACTACCCAAGAATGGGTATAAAAACATGTCACAGGAACTTTTGTTGTTCAGTATATCTTGCAGCAATACCAGTATTCGATGATAACATGAACAATAATACTGAACATCTGATTTATGGGTCTTGGAAATAATACCCTGCTTCTAATCTTCCCCCTCCCCTCCGCCTACCACAAGGGAAAATACGGTCGACAAACTATTATTCCCACAGGACGAATAGGAACGCATGCACCTTGACCTTATGGTATTATGCATGAGCCTAAACCGCAGGAATCGTAACACTATTTTCTTGGGTTTTCGTGTTTTGTTTCCTGATTTGACGTGTCGGGATTGTACATCCTGTCTAAATATCGCAATTTGGTACAAAAGAATTCCCATAAAAAAATAAAATTAAGAGCATGCGAACGAGAGAAGTTGACAAAATCATGCGTCCTAGCGATTATTATTGATACAATACGGTTAATTATTTTTTTACATAAATAAATTGCCAGTGATGATGCGACATTCAATTGCCTAACCAACCAACGTTTTCATAAACGGAAAAAACATTAGGGCACACCCACAAACGTACTTCTGTTATTGTCTTGGAGCTGAGAATCTTTGTCTCTTACGTACAGGCAAGTGTGGGTTGTATACCTCACAGGGAGCTGAGAATACATTTTGGAATGCTAATTGATCTGTTGTCCGGGGCTTCCAGAATTAAAATGACACGAATCATACCTTTCCTGTAGAACGTCCCTTCGGTGCCATCTTTCCATATCTTCAAGGGAAGGTCACCTTTCATTTCCTGGTCAACCTTCTTCATCTTCTTAAAGGAACATGCAGCCGCAACCTCTTCACAAAATTGGTCGGTGGATGTCAGCTTTAGAAATTTGGCGATGTCTTTAACAGCCTTGACAGGGTCCTGGAAGTAGTGTGTTGTTTGATGTTTTTTTACCCAGCCAAATTTGAAAAGATTATAGGTCATGTGTTTTGGACCATGATATATGTTAATAGAAGCCTGGACCATGAGGCACAAAACCTGAGTGGAGTGAGTGAGTCAATTCTGCTTACCTTTCACTCAAACGATTTTCGAGTGATTGTTGTTTAATGCCGCACTCGGCAATATTTCAGCTAGAAGACGGCGGTCTGTGATTAATCGACTCTGGACTCGGATACCATGACATGTGTCAACCAAGTCAGCGATCCTGACAACCCGATCCCGCTCTTACGACAAGGATATGTTGCTAAATGCCAATTCTAATCCGGATCTAGACGGATATTCACTCAAAACACTGTTATATTAACGGGACAGGAATATGTACAATATGGTACAACCTTGGTTGTATATGCAGATTGATCGTATAGTTTACGGTTAAACCGGGCTCATGTTTGGCCAACAACGCCATTGATGCAGGTTTGTAGCTGATAGAAATACTCACAATTTTCATGTCCTCATAAAACAAATTAAGGACAGGTAATTCTGGTGAAGCTGCCTCTTCGTCTTTCCACGCTAGGAGATAGTTGGAATAGGATCCAAACGGCACTGAAAATAAGGAAGAAAAAGTTGAAACAGTATGTCCTCTATGAGTCCATTCGCAGTTATTCTGGAGAAGTGTCGAAAGCGTATTCACAAACACGTCAAGTTCGTGTATATAAGTGATCACGGTCCAAAAAACGATCGTCGTAACACCCATACTTAACCCTTGACTTGAAAATCGTACTACTAACATTGCATTGTAGGTCGTGACCCCGAATGGACAGGACATCGACGTGTTTGGGAATACAAGTTCGACCCCACCTCAGGACGGGAACAAGGGCTTTGTCTGTCGCCATTGTCTTCATGTAACATCGCATCGGCAGGTTTCACTCAAACTGGACTCGAAGACGTGGAAGGTCAACAAATACTTATCCGTAGTTCGTTGTTATGATGTAATAAAAAAACGACAAAACAACTTCCGTATTCATAACAACAAAGCGACCAAACCCTTTCCATATCCAACAGAAATCTCTGCATAAAGCAGACTCCATTGTACGATTCCGACTACACCATGAGCATATGTTTATGAATCACTACGTATCAAATAGACTAAGTGATGATACCAGGTGTTCGCGAAAGGGTGAGCGTATCCTGCCCCACCGGTGGTACCTGTTACAAACACATGCAAAGGCATGTCAATTGTTCACCTTAAAAACACGAGAAAATATAGTACAAGTCAAAATTGGCAATTGCAACGGATATCATCCTTCTCACTGAAGCGTCAAATTAGGAAATGTCATCCACTTGTGCTGCCATTGAACTTTTTGAAAGTTTAATTGAGGCCTTGAATGTTGATCAAACAACTTCTAAGCAAGAGTCTTTTGATGCTCTTTGTAATCTTAGTAGAAAGAGCATGCTCGATTGAATCTCAAAAGTTGTGAAATGTAACACCAAAGGCTGGAGTTGCTGATATATATTGCCCGACAAGGGAAAGTTGACTGTTGGAAAGTTGAAGTCACCCCGTCTTGTGGAGTGTACTTTATCACTCTGAATCTTTAAGCATAGATCTAAATATGAAACAGATGAAGCGAACTTTATTCCCATTTCAGGGGGTAAATGTGTGGAATGAAATTGGCTATTTGATTGTTTTTGAACGATATCTGATCATTGATATACCTGAAGCTCAATGTAAACAGTCTTGGCCAAATTACCTTGTTTTGACTTTGCCAATCCAAGCAGAATTCCGATTAATATGCACACAAAAAACAGATCCACAAGAAGGGGAGCACAGTTGGTGCCCATGGGGATGCCTACTTCTGACGAAATGCCTTACCCCAAAATTTCACGGAGATGTTACACGTGAGGAAGTCAAGCATTGTTGATTTGCTTATATTTTTTACAATCTTTTCATTATAGATACATCACAATGATATCCTAAATTTAACAGAAATTGACAAAGTTTTCGTCCCGCGTGACGCCATGACTGACGCAAAATCACCCACAGCGACACCGGTTCATTTGGGTATGTCTCCTGGTTACAATGAAGAACATCAAAACAAATAACAATACGCAGATTGTCAGAATGTTTCTGATGACTTACAGGACACATGTATGTACAAACGATCAGTGAATCAACGAATGTACCCTCATAAACTCCCGCGTACTGATGTCAGAGGACGGGCAATTTTATCAGTCATCCGTCTTACGTCAATATTGTTTCACATATTTTGTAATTTCTTAAAGGTGACGGTCGGGTGAATATAAGTACATCATGTCTTGCTGCTTACAGTTTAAATCATGATGTTGATTTCTAGTATCTTTTGCATATTTTTTCACGCAATTAATTTCACAATGGATATATATCAATGTTCAATTTCATGCGTAGATACAGGCCACAAAATATATGAACCTTTGATAATCCTCCGTTTGCTTGAACATTGTTTACATAAGGAACTGACAAGTTTAGTTTCGTATACGACATTTCAGAGAAGTGTCAGAACATGAAATGTAAAGGTACCTGTAACACGTAGGTATTCCCTTCGAGTGTGAACAGGTTAATGAGTAGCCATATCATTTTATTTCAAAACTAAAACTGAATATTTTACTTTAACAAAATGTTTATTTTTAAAAATATATATGCATACAAGTAATTGTCTTGGTCTTTAAATTGTGTTTTATGTCGTTTGATTGACAGAACGGTGATGTCTAACGATTCGATAGATGTGCGTTTGTCACTAACGATTAATGAATTGCTCCGCTCGTTTTGTGTCATATAATCAATTGTTTCACACTTTTTAACTGTGGTGATTTCAGGATATTAACTGTTTACTTTGTTTCTCAAAAAATTTTGAAAAAAACCCATATATAAACCGTGCCGTGTTGTACCCCGTGGGTCGATTTTACTGATACTTCCATACAAAAGGAGCTTTCTTCGCATCTTTTGTTTCATAATACTGAGACGAGATGAAGAGAAACATCCACATAATAATGAACAAATACATGTATTGAACCTATTTTTGTTAGTTTTGAAATATTCATTTGGGCATTTGATTAACGTGAAATTGATGTCAAACAGGTGCGTGTCTTGTCCAATAAAAGATGTTGGGTCGAAAAAGCGTCAATTACCTTTTTCCAAATCGAGATTTTTCGTACAGTGAACGAAAATTAGGTGAGATATATATTAATCAGAATACTAATGTTGTCTTTCTCCGACGTCGTCAAAGACCTAAAGCCAGCCATGACGTCAAGTAAAATGTCAGTTTTTTTAGTATTCATTATTCATGATTCAGCATTTGTCAAAATTACACTTACACATTCAGGTGAATGTGGGAATCTAATGATTAATGTGCATGTCATACAGGGCCATCCATTTCGATATTACTTCCTAATTTATGTGCTACTATTTCATCTGTGATATTACCAAAACGTGTACTTAAAGAAGAGAATTTATTGATGTCAACTTATCTATTATGAGGAACACAGGTGATGAAGGAGTAAGTATATACTCCGAAACGTTGTGTTCCTCATAAAAAAAGTTGACATCCTTAAATTCTCTACCTTATGTGTATCAATTCTAAATACCTTTCAAAGACTTAAAACGTGTACTGTTTCAGTGTGGATATTTGCGTTGGAATTGTTTGGTTCATGAACCAAATAGTACGAAAATACGTTGACTTTATCCACAGCAATTTCCAGCTTGTAGCTGAGTTACAGTGGATAAGTTCTAAGCGTAGCCGACTTATGTCCCTTTTGGTATGGCGTGCGTCCACCTCACTGTCGGCTTTTGACGTCATGGTAAAATCGATTTTCTCCATTTACAGCAAGCTAGTGTTCGTATCGAATGTATATCGTTATGCATGAGCATACAAGTCCATTTGATAGTTAAGTAGATTCAAAGCCGCACGTTTACGATTCATATCTTATGAACATGTGTGTGAGAAACATAACTCGGCATCCGGTGAGTTATACATGAATACCCCATTCCGGTATGCTGACTCCGAGCTGACCAGTCTTTGTTTCCTCTCCTTAACCCCCTGGATGCCAGAGGGACATATATGTCCCTGCTCTACAACCTTCACTTTTCCGATCTTCGAAAAATGTGCGTCAGAAAAAAAACTCGGCATCCAGAGAGTTAATGCCGGTTTTTTGTTATGGCCCGTCAGGCGATCGAACCACCGACTTTCCTCTCTCCGGGCAGACGCTGTATCCACCAGACAACGGACGCTGTCAGATGAGCACAAGTCTATGGCACATGTTGCAGATTTTGCCAAGCGAGAAACATTACCGTTTGTACATAGCGACTACTCCGCGAAGTGGCAATATGTATTCAAGGTTGATGGAGGAATGTTATGTGCACAGAACCGTGAAGAATACACAATGGTCAACCACTCACTGTACTTACTTTTCCTTGACAAAAACGCCTCTGTAAACTCCGCGAAGTCTCCTTCATAGCCATACGGTTTCTCCATATCTCTGCAGTGGTTGAAAAAGGACACACAGGCATCTTTAGGGTTTCGCATGATCTGAATACACTTGACCTTCTTCTCCACGACCTGTGTAGGGAGCATGCGCAGAGGAAGGTGGGTGTTGAAGACCCGTGGATGCGGCACTGCTTCTATCCCATCTTTGAAGAGGAATTCCATCATCCGGGTCTCTTTCACATCCTTCTGGTACTGGATGGTCCCACTGATTAGCATCTCGAGGACTTCCCACAGCCAATGGGTTCCTAAAACAAAAATGTCTGGTCAGTCTTTCACCAAAAATTCTAACCTCAAATTGAAACAGATTTGTTTTAGGTGTATCAATATAATATTATGGAAGGTTTGCTATATAGATATAACATGCCTAGGAACATTAAGCTTGATTGACATTAGTTCAGTCAATCTTTCACCGAAAAGGCCAACCTTAAATTGCTATAAAAAAATGTTGGAGTTTGTTGAAAGTTCTGCTGTAGAACATATACACTGCCTGGAAACATCCAGCTTGATGGACTTTGAAACATTAGATCACCCTAGTCCCACCCAGCGCTGAAGTGTGTGTGTGTGTGTTTGTGTGTGTGTGTGCGTGCGTGCGCGTGCGCGTATGGGTGTCTGTGTGAGAGAAAGAGTGTGTGTTTGTGTTTATGTGTGTGTGACTGGGTGTGTGAGAGAGAGAGGTGTGAGAGAGAGAGAATCATTCCAGAAGCAACATCCATCCCAGCATACTTAATGTTCTTCCTCTTGTACTTATTGTACATTGTACATTATTATCATATCAAAACGTAATTCTAGTATTATCTTGGAGGACGGTCGGGCCTGTGGCCCAAGGCGCTGCACTTCGACCAGCAGAGTTGGGTCCCTTTGCCGTACCAGGTTCCGCTTCTCGGGAATTATGTCACAGATTCGCCTAGGTTATGATCGACAAAGTGACTGGCTTATGATTGGCGTTTAATCGGCCATTCCTCCAACTAACACGTTGTGTTATAACTGAGACACGTTGTTATGTAACTGAAATTCGCTGTATTATATAACAGAGACACGCTGTTATTTAACTGAGACACTGTAATATAATTGAGACACACTGTAATATAACTGAGTCACATTGTAATATAACTGAGACACGCTGTAATATAACGGAGACACGCTGTAATATAACTGAGACACGTTGTAATATAACTGAGACACGTTGTAATATAACTGAGACAAGTTGTAATATAGCTGAGACACGCTGTAATATAACGGAGACACGCTGTAATATAACTGAGACACGTTGTAATATAACTGAGACACGCTGTAATATAACGGAGACACGCTGTAATATAACTGAGACACATTGTAATATAACTGAGACACATTGTAATAGAACGGAGACACACTGTAATATAACTGAGACACGCTGTAATATAACTGAGACACATTGTAATATAACTGAGACACGCTGTATTATAACGGAGACACGCTGTAATATAAAGGAGACACGCTGTAAGATAACTGAGACATGTTGTAATATAACTGAGACACACTGTAATATAACTGAGTCACATTGTAATATAACTGAGACACGCTGTAATATAACGGAGACACGCTGTAATATAACAGAGACACGCTGTAATATAACAGGGACACGCTGTAATATAACTGAGACACGTTGTAATATAACTGAGACACGCTGTAATATAACTGAGACACGCTGTAATATCACTGAGACACGTTGTAATATAACTGAGACACGTTGAAATATAACGGAGACACATTGTAATAGAACGGAGACACGCTGTAATATAACTGAGACACGCTGTAATATAACTGAGACACATTGTAATATAACTGAGACACGCTGTATTATAACGGAGACACGCTGTAATATAACTGAGACACGCTGTAAGATAACTGAGACATGTTGTAATATAACTGAGACACGCTATAATATAACTGAGACATACCGTAAAAGCACTAAGACATGCCTTGATATAACTGAAACACGCCTTGATATTACATTTTCTCACTCATTTCGTGATCTATCGTGTACCTACCACACTTGGGATACGCCAAGATAATGACGTCATCGTCTTTCAGTTCGGCTTCCTTGATACTTTTGATTCTGTCTAATGGATGACCTCCCTTCAACATGGATGGAGGCGGCACAAAGAGGTACACCCCATCATGTTTGAAACAATGGAATCCGTGTCCTTTCGAATTTCTCAGATCGGGTAGCTCTCCCAGGTCGGGATCTCTGGAAACACGATTCATGATCGAGATATGTATATGTATCCGTAACTAATTATATATCTATTAATCCATGGACGTACCCGAGTAGTTTGAGAATATGCATGTACCGTCAACACACCGTAGTCATAGCAACAATAGTCATAAGAAGAAGTAAGGAGTAGTTTCTTTTGAGCACCTTCAACACACAATAGTATGTACACACAGGAGTGAATGGACCTTGCATTGACGAGATACAGGTCACGCTGACCCAGCACTCGATTCAGCAAGCAAAGCCCGTCCCTGTACAAGAAGTACCTCAAAACGTGAGATAATTCAAATACCTAGTCAATAAACATGCGGAATAACACTGAGAAATAATTCTGAAAATATGATCTTCAGTAAAGACTTACAACATAGATTTTTCTTCTCTATGATCTGAGGCCATGGTGAAAGGAGTGGTCTGGTTCAGTTCAGAAAATCTATTTATACCTTATGGGGCATGTGACTGATAAACGAAACTGGGTCATTCTGTCTCCTCTAAACAAAATGTCAGTGGCCGTATATACGAGACAACATTGCACATAACAAAACTTGGCAATAATGCAGTTCACCGGGCGCAGCCCGAGCTCTACCATCCACTCAATTACCGCGCTATAGTGCTACCGCTGTCTTGCTATACCGTTACCGTGCCTAACGCTCCGGTGATTCTCGCTTTATGATCCAACACCCGTTTTCGGTCTTAGAGAAACTTACATGTCTTTACGATCCAACACCCGTTTTCGGTCTTAGAGAAACTTACACATCTTACGATCCAACATCCGTTTTCGGCCTAAGGGAAACTTACATGTCTTTATGATCCAACACCCGTTTTCGGTCTTAGGGAAACTTACACGTCTTTATGATCCAACACCCGTTTTCGGTCTTAGGGAAACTTACATGTCTTTATGATCCAACACCCGTTTTCGGTCTAAGGGAAACTTACATGTCTTTACGATCCAACACCCGTTTAACGAAATTGTGGACTGTTTATCCCAGCTCTGGTCGCTACATACGTGGTTGATTTCCAGATAAAACATTATTTTATCATGACGTTATGACTGGAGATTCGAACATGCTCTTGTCACTTGATAACGTGGTAAATTGGACGACGTTATTTTTGAGAGGGAAGTGTCCAGTGAGTTGTTCCCCATAGATGTAGCTGGGCAACGTAGATAAACGCAGTGGTCGAACGATCCCATCCAAAATGGTGAGAGAGATGACAATCGGTATTGGAGGGGGAAAAGGTACAGATAGTCGACGTGAAAATTGTGCGAATATACGCGAAAGACCCAATTTAACCCCCCTGTTCATAAATAGGACTTGTCCGACATTGCCGGGGTCGGATTATACTCGGGGAGTCATCGTTATTTAAATACGGGTAAATATTTTTAAAGCGTGTACTTTTTACTGATATCCTTAAAGAGGCTGTACACAATGTTGTTCATATAAGAAATAATCAGATTTACAAAGCCGATAATACGAATATGATGAACACACATAATTCTTCCTTTGTGTCTTCGAGCAAAATCATTTCCCTACCGTCAAAGTAAGCTTATGTCATCCATCCGTCCGTTAGCACCAAATTAAAAAAATCGTTCTACTTCAAAACTACAGAATTAAACTATATGGTATTCCCATAACGAAACTTACAAAGTAAACTTCCAAAGGGCCTGAGAATCAACTCAACAGACAACTCATTGCCAAGCCTGTCACGTATTGAATCAACCACAAACACAAATGAAGTTGTAATAAAGATTTATTCCCTCCCTTAAGTTAATTTTAAAACCCAATAACAATATTTAAATACAAACTAATACCAAATTAACTAACACAACTAACTAAACTAGCTTCTCCTACAACTAACAATACTACCATCTACTACTAATACTAATATCTTAATACTAACAGTACAAATGTCTACTACTAATAATACAACTATCTACTACTAACAATACAACTATCACGATACACTATCTTAATACTACTAGTCTACTTTTAACAATACTAACACTAATACAAATGTTCTAAGAATAACACAACTAATACACAGTAATAACTTTGTGGGTATAAATATATACAACACAAAAACACACCCCCAAAAAACAAAACCAAAAGATACAAAGCCACTCCACTGTCACTGTCACAACAGTTGTATACAGAACTTTGGAATCTCTGATGTTACTGAGCAGTTCACACGAGAATTCTTCCTCGTAATATCGAATGGTGATCTTTCCACCATGTTGTCCCTACGGAGTTAAGGGTGCCTGTTTACTTGGATGCCACGGCTGTGTTCATCCTATGATGTGCACACGGAAACGGAGATACTTCTCTCCTTACGTAGGGACGGAGATCTTCTCTCCTTACGTGATGTTGGAGGTTGATACTTCCTCCTACGTACTAACGGAGGTACTTCTTCCCTCCTACGTACTATAAGGTTAACAGGCCAGTTCCGGGACACTACAATATAATATAATCAATTACAGTTACTGAGGTATGTGTCACTACCTCACAATACATACAGCAATGCACCAATACTCCGATTTACATATTACTGAGTTGAACTGTTTATACTTTGCTCATGTTGTGGTTATTGTTACAGTGGCTTTACGTTATTACAATCAGTATGTGTATATAATTACATTTGAAAACAATACATAACTCAAAATTCAATCCTCTAAAGTACAATTCTACATGAAATAATAAATGTAAAAACTTACGCCAACCAGAGTAGAAGTCTCCCACAATGTTAGTCCATGCCTTACATGACCATACTGATTCCGGCTGACTGTACAAATTATTACCCTGCCCCGCTATTTAAACTGACCCCAAAGCCCAAGCTACCCCTGACCTCCCTATTGTTACACCAATTAACTCCCCAGCTATCACCCGTACCCAGTCACGCTTCCCTGAACCTAACTTGTTCCATAGTATTACCTGACAATATCTAAAAACAACCCGCTAAGCTTAATATACTAATGTAACCATACCATAATACATCTATCTGAAGTACTAATATATAATTAATATATACAATATTATCTGTGATCTTGACAAAGCCATCCTCCATGCTGCATCCTAGAGGCTTGTCACTGAGAGAATAAGACACCGGAGAACCAAAGCCATCACCATATTCTTACTGTACATTTGGCTTCATCCAGTTAACTGTATTAACTTGTTATCTATTACCTGTTGGCAATGTTAATCTGCTGCTTATCACAACATGTCATACACACATACTTCTCATCACTTGGTTGTTGTCACTCCAGCTTGATAACGGTGTAAGAATCTACATGGATACTTTGCTATATGCATAAATCAGAAGTTGTTATCCATAAAGTTGTACGTTTTCTTACTTACTTATCTATTTCTAGAATGCCAATCAAACAGTTAGTAAGTCGTCTACATGGAGACGTGGCAGTTAACACCATCAACAACCTCAATCGACTTAAAAATAAGTACATCCAATCCAGCAACCTCCTCATCTTCCTCATGCGATGCAGAGACAATCAGGTCATTTAAAAAGGCCTGAGAATCAACCAATTCAACAACTGCCAAAGCCATCATCCATATTGCATCCTAGAGGCTTGTCACTGAGAGAATCAGACATCGGAGAACCAAAGCCATCACCATATTCTTACTGTACATTTGGCTTCATCCAGTTAACTGTATTAACTTGTTACCTATTACCTGTTGGCAATGTTAATCTGCTGCTTATCACAACATGTCATACACACATACTTCTCATCACTTGGTTGTGGTCACTCCAGCTTGATAACTGTGTAAGAATCTACATGGAAACGTCGCTATATACAATAAACCAGAAGTTGTTATCCATAAAGTTGTACGTACTTATTTCCTTAAAGTAAACTTCCTAGTGAGTCGTAAAAATGATGATGATTCATAAACACATTCAAAATACATTAGTCGGAATCGTACAATGAACTCGTAGAACAACAAACTATTGGCTCTTCGTGAAGAGTGGGAAATCAGTTGCATGTCAAATGTTGTCTTCAACATGCTCATTGTACTAGTAAGAGTTTCATACTTAAACAGCTCTCATATATACTATATTGCCACCGTTCTTGCATAGTCCAGTGAAGTAAGGCTAATGAAGTACGTTCAGACACAGCTTTCCAAATTACTTAACATTTAATTATAAACTAATCACCAAATTAGGCATATACGGACTTTAGAATTGGTCTCCAGGTTCTCTTAGTCTGTTGATGACTTGTGTGAAAGGTCAATGCCTCCATAGGTTAAAATATCAAGAATGTAAGCAAATGTGAAAGCGCTACTATACTAAACTATACTGAACCGCAACAAAAACTCACCCCAAGTAACATTGCATAAAAAGTTGTCATTTAAATATCTGGGTAATTTTCTAAAATTTAACATTACCTTGTCCGGAAAAATCAAATTTGATGATAAAAAATCAAAGCAGAAGAAAACCGATCGCCCAAACGCATCACGGCAACGGCCATGGTAACCCGATGCACGTGAGTTCCGTGCAAATTGAAATGCTCATGCGTTCCCCCATTTCTTGCCCTATAACAATTCAGCCAGATCGGATAATATTCATTCCTTATTGAATTGCTACCACATGCCAAGATTGACAAGAAATCAGCCCTTGATAAACATTGATATACATTTATATATATAATTCAATCGCAACACTGTTGCTAATTTGCACCAAGTTATTTCGTCGGAAATGTCCTCCATGTGTCATTACACTTTCTTGAGCCCCTGAATGTTGTAACTCTTATCACCCTGACCATGTACTGAGGGTATGTGGCCCCTTGAGTACCGAAATCATATGACCTTCTTTGAAATCTTCGTAATAAAAGAGCTTACTCGATCGTACCTGAAAAGTTGTGAAACTTAGACACCAAAGTTTAGACCTGCTGGAATATTGCTCAACATATATATTGCTAAAAATGAAAGGGAACTACTGAAGTATTTTAAAGTTAAAGTCATCCTTTTGTCATATAGACTCGTGGAGAGTTTTGTCATTCTGAATCTCAATGTACATGTGAAACAGAAGAAGCGGTGTCAGTGGTCTGTTTGTATTATACCTTTAAAGCCTAAGCTACACTTTCTTGTCCAGATTCTCTTTCTATTTTGCAAATCCAAAAAAAATTCCGATTCTTATACTTAAAGAAACGGATCGGCAAGAAGGGGAACACAGTTGGCTCCTATTGGGATGCCTAATGCGTGCCTAAATGTCCTGTACAAAACTGTGGTGTAACTAGTGTTCACTTCCACGATGGTACGGTGTTTCTAGTTTTCATTAATACTGTGGTTGATCTAGTTTTCATTAAAACTGTATTTAACGCGGAAAGTCCTTTCTCTAAGTCTCGGTGTTTGCACAATGGCATCCAACGGCACAGACCCTCTTGATTTAATGCAGATTCGAAGCAGTTCCAGCTTAAAGTGTTCACTTATACGTTCAGATAAATTTGGTATTTCATAACTTAATACTACTTTTGTTAAGCTAAAGCCCGATGTACAA